TCCTGTCAGTCTGTTCCATGCATCCATGCCTCTGGACCTATTTTGTTCATCAGTTTATTTTGTTCATTAGATACATTAGAGGAATATATATATTCATAGAGAAAGGGAGAGGGAGAGAGAGATAGAAACATCAATGATGAGAGAGAATTATTGATTGGCTGGCTCCTGCATACCTCCTACTGGGGATGGAGCATGCAACCTGGGAATATGTGCCCTGCTCTACTGGGAATCAAACCGTGACTTCCTGGTTCATAGTTTGATACTCAACCACTGAGCAACACTGGCCAGGACATTAGATGCTATTTTTGAACCACAACAAAAAGCTTTGGACAGTAAATAGAAAAATCCAAAACAGAAGTGTTAGAAAGAAATATATTTAATTCTTTCCATTTTTCACTTTTCCTCTGGAATTTAATGTCTTAGTTTAAGAGTGATTGCACATACAATACAGTAGGCAATGGGTAATGTTTCCTTTATACTTATTTACAGATGTTCATTTTAATAGTTATAATCTCTGTCATTGGTAAAAGTATGCTATAGACTCTTGCTACTATGGCAGAGTTGAATAGACTATAAAGGCTCACAAAGTCTAAATTATTTACAATCTGATCCCTTACAGAAAAAAGTTTATTGACTCATGAACTAGCAAATGGATTATCATATTTGTAAAAGAATACACAAGTTTTTTATTTGTTAGTGTTTATGGTATATATAAATGAGAAAAAGAGATATATTATTTTAGACAATTTTATTTTCTTTCACAGTAAAGAATATTTGCATTGTTGCTTTTAATTTTTTAATGTGCCCCAGACATGAAATATCTCTATCAGCAAGCCAAGGACTGCACATCTGCTTTGCCCTGCCTGATAGAAGAGCAACACCACCTAGCTGGTGTCTCCTTGCTCAGGGCCAGGAGGGTTGCTTTAAATTTTTAAAAGTCTTGATATTCTGAAGCTGGTTCTTGGATGAAAATCTGTATACAGTAAAGTGGATAGTTAACAAGTTAGTGTCTCTTCAAATAAATATTTGTTAATCTATGCTGAAAGATTTGCATAGAAAGGAAACTGGAAATACAGAGTTTAGGTGAGTCAGGGAGGTGGCTTCTAACCATGCAGCTATTATATGCCTGAAAAATGCACAAACTGAATTAGTCTGGAGGCCCTATCAGCTTGTTCTTGGAGAGGTTCCAACCTCTAACTGCATCGTGGCTGCAGAATCATTCTCTGTATCAGACTATTCCCCATGGCTGTATCAAAGGTAGTCCCTGGCCAATATTCTTTAAATCTGTCACATTTACTTTTCTAAAAAAATAATGTAAAAAAAAACTCCGTAAACTTGTTGGGAAATAATAACAGTACATGTACTAAGTTATTTTTAATGTTTTTGTATCTGTAGTTGTTAAATAGTTGTATGTGTATGTGTGTGTACACATGTATGCACATGTATGACTAAAGAAAGCTATTAGGATTGTGAGGAATATACTTTACAAAGTATAGCTTTTCTATGAAACATCTAGAAGGAAGATAATAGATAATGATACGATGGTTAACATTACTATTTTCAAAAATTGAAAAGGAATGATCACTAGAAGCCAGTTTGGGATTTTCCTATATGACATCCTATTAAGGGCTCTGAATCTCAGTTATGCACTTCTATGAATTTAAATCCAACAGAGATGATGTAGCTTTTACACAATTTTCTTCAGTTATAAGAACCATAATCATTGCAATGGGATGCCTTAAGCCTGGGTCACTTAAATCATTTCTGACTACAGCAGGCACTCTTCAGGGACATGCAAGATGGGGAAGGCACCTGTTGCTCACTGCATCGTAGTGTCACTCATAGAGCCTTAGTGCAGGTCAGTCTGTTCAGGAATCGGTTATAGAGAAGAATATAAAAATTCTGCAACTTCACAGACACACTAAAATATACATATAGAGAAAATATTTTTAAAAGGTTAAGCAGTTTAGATTCACCAAATATTTAGATATTCTCTTAATGTTAGTCTTGAGAAAGTAACTGAATGGGATATAATAATGAAGATATAAGTGTTTACATTGATACATAAATGCTGTCTCAATATATAGGCTTCCTACACTTATGAATCCCAATGATATGTAGTAGAATTTTTAAAATAAAAGTAGATCAGAGGTCAAAATGTGTGACGTTGGGGAAAATGTGGCTTGCTGAAATTATATTAGACATACAATAAATAGCTTTTTAAAAACTGGAAATTTTGGAGATTTTGATAATTTTTTTGTCTTTACATTTTATAACATAAATATTGTGCATGCATTTATGGTACAGAGGGTCATAAGAAAATTTTCTTGGTCCTTGTTCTATATTTACATTTTCTTATGTATTCTTCCATATATGTCCTTGTTAACATGAACATAGGAATGAAATAAACAATGAGATCATGATAAATATATTTTTCTATGCAGAAGTACTTTTAATTCCTAATTTTTATAATTAATAACTTGTTTTATTTGTATAACTTTATTGATTTATGCTTCTTTTAGTCTACTTTTATTGTCATTGTTTTAGTATTTTTTAATTAAATTATTACATCTAATAAAATCTCCTTTTCTCCTCTCCTACTGAAATTTTTTATAGAGTAAGTTGTAAAATCAATTCCTTTGATGCTTGACAGGAAATGTGGTCATTTCAGTGGAATAGTGAGGAGGACTTCACAGTGCAAGCCAGTCCCTCTACATGGTCATCCAAATGTTTCTGGTATTCTGAAAATTCACAGCTAACAGCCTTTCCTCGAGAAATGATCTCTTCTTGATAAAAGACTGGCAGTATTTAGCTAGATTGACATCATCCAAACCCTTTCAAACACTGAAAGAAGCAACGTGGAGAACAGAATTTAGACTTCAGGTCTCCAAGCCACTATTTTGATAACCTTTCTAATTCTTTTCACTGGTGTACTGAGTTCCAGTGGTTTGGGAGTTAATCAAGGAAGCAGATATGATTTGTGGTGGCAGTAGTACACAATGAGTTTTATTGGTTGGTGCTTTGACTGGTTTTCACTGGGGGAAGTCCCTCACAGCAGGAGACTTCCAAAAGCCGTGTTCAGGGGCCACTATGTAGGAGGACAAGGGGGAAGTCATGAGAATTAGGAGGACAGGAGAGGGTGTTATGAAAGTAGGTGATGTTGCTCAGCAGCACAATGTAGTCCCTGAGTCAGAGAGCTCTGAAAAGCAGAAGCAGCTTGGGTTCTTTTATAACCACAAAGTTTATATGTACCTAATAAATATGGGATGCCATTTTGTGGGGTATGCAAAGCAGGAAGGGTCTAAGAGGCTAAAACTGTGCTTATTCAGACTATATTTAAAACAACTGGATGTGAAAAAATGTAGGGGTTTTTGGTGCCAATGGAGTTTGGAGCTAATAGGTCTCACCTGCTGTGAAGAAGTAAACAGCAGTGAGCCAGTGTATGTAAGCCATCTTTGCTTCACTGATAGAACAAGTGGGCCACACTAGTTTTGTTTGTGTATGTGTATTTTATCATGATAACATGCTCAAATACACACACACATAAACACACACACACGCACACACACACCAATATAATGTATAACATATACATGTCATCTATATTTCTTAATCTTATTATTGGTTAACCTTAACAAATTTTGTTATAATTGCTCCAGCTTTTTAAAAAGCATATATCATTACAGTTGAATTTCTGTAAGTACCACTAGTTAAATTATCCCTCCCTTGCCTTCTTTACAGGAAAAATATAAATATTCCTATGCTACATATATATAATTTAAAAATAATTTATAAACTTCTTTGGGGATGATTTGAAACTTTATATAAATGATAATATAATATACATAACCTTCTGCCCTCTTCTTACGGTTTATGAGATTCATCCAAGTGGATTTAATTGATACTCATAGATCAAGTTTATTGTTTATACTGCTAAATAATATTTCATTGTGTGAATATAACATGATGTTTTTTAAAAAATTTATATGGATGGTTATTTAAGTTGTTTCCAGCTTTTCATTTTTGCAAATGATACATTAGAGAATGTTTTTGGATATTTTTTCATATGTAAATGTTGCTGTTTGGCTATTCCATTGGCAAATAATTCCCAAACACCCTATGTGCACAAATATTGGACTGAATTGAAATTAGATATAATTCCTATTCTTAATGCATTTGTAATCTTAATTTAATCATATATATATATATATATATATATATATATATATACACACACACACACACACACACACACTTATATGTGTGCATGTGTACGTGTAAGAATGACTAATATTTTATAGTTTAATTCCATCTGTAATTTTACTAAATTTAAATTTATTTCTAAGTCAGGGATATTATCAATGACATTGCTTGATTTTTTCCTCTTAATCTTTGGTTTCAGTAATCTTCCAAAGTGTTCAGTCAGATATGAATGACTGAGTTACAGTTTTGTCTCCAGGAGAATATTGTGTTAGAGTCTTTCTGAATTTCTAGCACTGTCACCTGCTCAGTTAATGATTTATTAAATATATCACAGCAATTAGAAAAATGAGATTTAGAAAAATGTTATCCACTACAGCTCAAGTAATTCAAATTACTTTTCTAGGAGATGTATATTGGGAAAAATCATAGCAATACATAACATAGTAAGGATAATGATCAATGTAAACTGAAAATTTCTAATGGGAAATATACACAGAGCTTTGGAACTGCATTCCAAATCACTTCTTTCCCAGCCTTTATTGTATGCAACAAACACATAGAAAGTGGTTAGCTAACACAGGTAGTTTGAAAACATTTTAACATTTTTATCTAAACAAATGTCAGATTTTTTTTAAAATGAAAAATGCTAAGTATAATAAAAGCATATATTTATGCTCTTGGCAGCCAAATGTGCTTTTTAATGGAATTTAAATAAATGGAATTTTTATGACAAAAAAAGCAACAGTAAAAGCAGTGATTATGTTTTTCATAGTTCATTTGCCTTCTGTGCCCTGCAGACCTTGTGTGGAGGAAAATGAGATCCTGAGTGAAGTCTACAATGTCATTGACTCTGAAGAAGGACTCAGAGACCCATTGGTGTTTAATGACCCTTGCTGGCCTATGCAATGGAAACTGGTATGATCTTCAGAAATAGATGGTTTTTTGGCAATGTTAAGAAATATTATTTCCAATCATATTTTAATGCAGTAGACGGACACTTTTATGCACTGCCTGCTTTTATCTATTGGTTTTGCAGAGAGGGATTTAGTAGTAAACTTTTAATGAAATGTCACTGCCAGCTTATTAATAAGCACTAATCCTTTTAATTTTATTGCATCCTTAAGGTTTGATTTACTTTATAAACAGTACCAGTAAAAAACAAAAACTAAGACATTTAAATTTGGTGTGTGTGAACAGACTCATTACATAAGAATGTTGTTGCCATCCAGGTTTGAAGTTCTTGTTCTCACATACCGGGATATATTCTAATTTCATCAGTAATGAAAGCATGCCTCTTTGTCTTTGTATATTAAGTGGATGTTAGAACATTGCACAACAAAATTTTTTTCATAATGCTTATTATTCTACTTTGCCCTATCACTTATATAAGATTGTGATAATGGAAAGGTCTGAGAAAGCACCCATAGTTTTTGAGTGTAAAAAAAGTTGTAGAAACCACTGAAGATTTTAAAAGGAAATATTTACATGGTGAGGATAACTTGGTGATACATCGGAGAGAAATTGAAGACCTTGTTATAGCCATTCTTAGGTCTGTAAATTATATTGTGTTGCAGAGGATCTAGTGTCATAAGATGAGAAAAAGGTTAAGTGTGTTTCATCATTTTCATGGAGATAATGAGGTGAGAAGTGGGAAACTGTTGTGGTAGCTCTTTTTTATGTTGATCATTGGCAGTTACCAAGCTTACTATATGAAAAGAACAGAAAATACATGTTGGAAAATGTCCAACTCACTTGTGAGCTTCATTTTATCTTTAAAAAGTGAAACACAGTTTAGAAAACTCTAAGACATCTATAAGACTACATTTGACATTTCAGACAAACAAAAAAATTCAAGCAGAACAAATATTGTGGATTGCTTCAATTATCTGAAAATGAGATAATCAGCAATAAGTTAGTAGACTAGAGCTAATTAGAATTATGAAAGTCAAAGACAAATAAAAGTTAAAAAAAAAAGGAGTGAGGGAAGGTGGCTAAATAAAGGAAGATATGAAGGGGGTAAAAATTGTTAAACTTTCTTTTGTTTGTTTTTTATCTGAAGAAGCAGTACAAATTAAGATGAATATTTAATGCTTACATATATGACACTTTGCAATTAGTCACCTGGAAAAACATACTTTTTCCATATTGGTTATTAAATTCCAAGCTCTTCTATACTGAAGTCAAGAGTTTCAGAAGACACATAGGGAAAGGAGGTGGAAGGCAAATGATATCGGAAAGATAATAAGAATTGAGTAGCAGTCAATAAAGTGACAGGGAAATGAAGACAAGTCTCAGAGACTTAAACAGTAAGTCCTCTTAAACACAGTGAAGAGAGATCATGAAAGGAAAAGGCAGAAGACGGAAGTAGTAGGATAATTCTATTCCACTAAGGCATGAGTTAGACTTTTTCTGCAAATGACCAGATGGTAAATATTTCAGGTTTCATGGGCCTTGTAAATCTCCGTGGCATATTTTTGTTGTTGCAGCCTCAGACCTTTAAAAACATAGTTTAGAAAACTCTAAGACACAAATGTGAAAACCTTCCTTAGCTTAGAGCCATATAAAATCAAATTAGGCTGGATTTCTTTTGCAGGCCATAGTTTACTGACAGTTGTGAAGAGTAAGGGGAAGAGAGGAGTCAACATTGGAGTAGCCATTCAGATTTAACTATCTTTTAAGAATCCAGCTGTGTGCTGTGCTATACAGTAGCACAACTCAGCAGCGAAAGGTGAAGCCAGGTCATATTACTGTCAATAGCCTTCTGGATTATTACTGTATTTCAATAGCACCTTTCTATCGGCCTGTCTGCCAGGATGGAAGATTCCTTGCAAACTTTAATATAAAATTGCAAAGAAACAATTGCAGTTTGTAATTGGATGTCCTGTCTAAAACATATTCATAACAGCAAACTAAGCTGTGTAAGAAAATCCAACCCCTAAAGATAATACCGTATTTATTTCAAAGAAAGACTGAGTGGCACAGGTGGTTTGCACTGCCCTACCAGAGAACTTGAGACCTTATGCTGATTCCCACCCTTTAAGTAGTCTTCCTCAGTTACTAATTTCTCCTTACTTTCTCAATAAAATATCAGAAACAAATACATCCAAATATATAAACTAACTTTTTTTCTATTTTATCTAATTCTACTACTATTGTTATGCTTGCTCACTGAAAAAATCATTCTATTATCATAAACCTATCTGAGGACAGCCATAGTATTCTTTTACTAGACACTTGCAGAATTCTGGTAATATGAGGTAATATTTATTGTTTGTTCTTATTTTAGGATAGTATTAAGAACTTACTTTTGAGAAATTCTTTTCAGATGTTTAAATTTCATTCTTGATCTAGAGATTGGCATAAAATTTTAATACTGCTCTCCTAAAATTGTGCTCAATGTAAGTGTTTAAGAATAATTTAAGAGATTTTGACTTAATATTACATTTTCTGAAGTACTATGTTCTAATGATAAAGTTCATTAAGATCTTATATATATCTTTGTGAGCATGGTAAAATGTTCTACTATGATATCTAGATTAAGTAGCCTAGAGAAATGAAGACTATTTTTATTAGATTAGATAGGCAAAAATAACATCCATTTTAACTGATGCTCAAAACTCAATAGAGATTGATAAGAAAAATTACAGCAATGTAATTTTCAAGAAAGTAAGATTGTCTGTTTTTGTTTCCTACTTTAGGTTTCAATTCAGAAATAAATTGTGCAGAGAAAAGTGTTGTATCTGTATATATTATAAGACAATGGGCAGATGATGCAAAAATGAGTTGACAACATGAATTTTCATAAGTAAAAATAGTATCAGGGGCCCTTTCCAGTGTTCTAAGTGGTTAGAGCTTTGGTCCATACACTAAAGGATTGCAGGTTTGATCCTGTCCTGATTGAGGCACCTGCGGGAAGCAACCAATTGATGTGCCTCTTTCACATTGATATTTCTCTCTCCTCCCTTTCACTCTCTCTAAAAACAATGGAAAAAAATGTCATTGGGTAAGGATTAATAACAATAACAAAAAAGTATCAGAATACTCTCAATATCTGAACCAGGGCTCCTCTCCTTTCTCCATCTGATCTCCATGCCTAGGCAGATTGCTACAGCACAAGCAGAGGGCCAGGGTGAGGAAGATGTTGAGCAAGGTTCAGCCTATGAGATTAAAGAGAAAATGGAATGTTTGATCATTTTAGCATGGTTTTTTCAATTAAAAAAATATATAAATACTTTTTAAAATGTTGCTAGGAAGAGTATAGGCTTTAGGGTGAGACAAATGTAGATTCAAATGCTGGACCTACACTGTGCTTTCTAGACTGTGCTTTTCATGAACACTTTAATCTTTTGAAAAATCTGTTTTCTTATCTTTATGACTTGTAGTGGGTAGTCATTGAACAACTTGGCAGCTGGCCAGATTCATTTCCTATCTAAAATGAGTTAAACTTCCAGTACAAAGGAATAAACTATGCTGAATGCTCATTTATCAATAACACTAGATTACTAAAGCAGTACTAATGCTTAAGGTTATTAATAATTTTTGTGTTATAACAATGAGAATAATTTCTATGGTGATGGTCTCTAAAAAAGTGTTTACCCCACAAAAAGTTTTTCTGAATGTATTATAATTCACATAATATGTTAATATATTAGTACACATTTTTGTTTATAAATCGTTAAATAAGCATATAGTACAGGTATAAGCACAAAACATTTTTAATGAGAAGACTAATGACCAGAATGCTTGTTCAATTGATATATTCAACAAATACTCATAAAGTGATGTCAAGATATTTTTATTGAGTGTGCTATGTGAATAGGACTAGGCATTAAGTATTTGAAGATGAGTCAGATATGGATTTTGACTTTAAAAATCTTAAACTCTAAAAGAGATGAGAGCATCTACCTAATAAAAGAGTAACATGTTAATTGATCGTATCTTTGTGATACCCACCAGCCAATTAGGAGTGAGTATACAAATCAGCCCAACAAAGATGGTGAATTAATTTGCATAAACAGGCACCCAGGGTATGGGACAGGATGCCTGCATCATCACAGTGGCGCTGAAATGGGCATTCTGCACCACCCCAGCCACTGGGCAGCATGCGAAGGCAGAAAGGTGGCTCTGGGCTGGAGCGGAAAGGCTGCTCCAGCCAAAGCGAAGGCCCATTCTTTTTTTTCTCCCCCCCCCCCTCCCTGAAGGCCCATTCTTGCACAAATCTTCATTTGTGCATTGGGCCACTAGTATACTAATAATTACTATATTAATGGAAAACCATTCTATTAAGAAAGCAAAATTAAAATAAGTTATTTCTGGCTTGAGGGAGGTGATAATATTTGAATTGGGAATAAACCTGGGAACACTGTATCCAGAGGCATGAAAATAAAAAATATTGTGTGTTTTTTCCAGAGAAAGTATTTTGAATACTTAAATGAGAAGTCCAGACTTCATTCTATACAGTTAGAATTTTATAAAAGACTTTTGAGCTGAAAATTGAGTTATGTTTCAATATTATTAATTTATTATTTTAGCAATACATTTGTGAAACATTTGTTTGTTAAATACTATGGTCAGGCCCAATGCTAAGTACATACTAGTAAATGTGAATAATATGCTGCTCCTGTTCTCAAAAAATTCATAGTTTAATTTAGTGAGATAGTTATGTAAACATACTCACTGCATTTTATTAATGTACTAGAGGCTTCATGCACAAAAAAATCATGCAAGGAGCTTGGTCCACTCAGCCCCAGCTACCTCAGCCCTCACAGCCTCAGCTGCCTAGCAGCCCTGGTGGTCCTACCCACTGGAAGGTGGTTCTGCTGTCCAATTTAATTTGCATATTAGCTCTTTATTATATAGGATAATAAAGTTCTCATGGAAGAGACTTTACAGCATGGATACATTTTTATTTTAAA